CCCGGCTTCCCAGGAACTGTCCTCTGCACAGGCAACTCAAATCCCTGCTTACAGAAAAGCAGCGAGTGGGCTCGCCAGGGGGCGATGTTCCAGCCATCTCGCCCTCCACAAGGCAGCTTTTCTATCCATCCATGCTCATGACTCTGCTCTCACAGTCTGCTTCTGACACCAGATGTGTGGAGACTTCTCCCCACCAACAAGCAATCAGTTCTCCAGGGACCAATCAGTTCTCCAGGGACCTCCAATTCAATTCAGATGCTATCTACCTGGAGAGAGTGTCAGATCCTACTTCAGGCACCAGTCACAAGTCCAGACCTCTGGAACTTCTGACCGGCCATCTTCAAGTTGGGGTTCCCTCGGCCCCCCACTCTAGGCTTGATAATTTGTTAGAGCAGTTCACAGGACTCAGGGAAACACTTACGTTTACCAGTTTATCACTTTTGAGCCTTATTTATTTATTTAGCAGCTGGCTAGTACAGGGATCTGAACCTGTGACCTGGGACCTGAACCTGGTGTTATAAGGCTGCGTTCTAACCAACTGAGCTAACTGGCCAGCCTCCTTTTGGACATTAGAGGGGATGTTTGCTATTGTTTTTGTTTTAGGTGCTCTTTGCTTGTTTGTGGATAAGTAATGCTACACAGAGAAAAAATTCAAAGGGCTGACAGTGAAAAGCAAGCTTCTCCTCACCCGCAACCCCCATCCTTCCCTTCCACAGTTCCCCAGGTCCCTTCTGCAATGTCCTCTTCTCTACACAAGAGCAGAACAGTCCCTCTCCCGTGCCATACCACAAATGGTAGCATGACGTACACACTGTTCTCCACTCTTCTTTTTTCACTTAATATATCTTGGAGCTTATTCCACGTCAGTGAACATGGAACTGCCTCATTCTTTCAAAGGCTGCATAGTACCATATAGTTTCAGATGGGCCCTCGTTGATTTGAGCAGCCCACTCCCGACGGACAGACAACCCGGCTGTTTCCACTTCTGGCTTCTACAACCCATGCTGCACTGTACCCTTGTGTACACATCCTCATGCACAGGTGGACTATCTGTAGGATAAATTCTGAAAAACAGAATTGTCTTGTGCCAGGTATGTATACGTTAAATTTTCAAATTACTACCCAAAGAGGTCGTATCCATTTACAGCATCACCATTGTATATGAAAGACAACATGTCTGTCTGATTTAGTGCTTAGCCAGAGTGGTGATTCTTCAAATTTTGGAGTGTGGTTGGGAGATCATGCCTGGGGTCCAGGTTTATAATTTGCCCCAAGCCAGCCATGTGACCCTGGAGGCACAAACTGTGCCTGGAATTTGGGAAGCCAAATCAGGCTGTCTCTCCAGACCTCTTTCTTCATCTAAAAACAAGGAAAGGACTTTTTAGCTGGCGATTTAAAAATTTCCCTCCACTTCTAACCTTCAAAGTCACTTTGCCTCCCCGGGCCACTGTGTCCCTGTTTGTGAAGTGGGACCATAGTCCCTACCTTATTTTTCTTGCCACATGATAAGAAGGTGTAAGGAGAGGTGGGCCTGCTCTTTTTCAAGAGATTTTCAACAGAAGCCATAAGTCCAGTTCTTTCCTAAGTTCTCCTGGTTTTAAAATGTTGGTTATTCAGATTTTTCAAAACATTGAGTCAAACAAAACTGCCCACAAGCCGGTTGTAGCCCAGGAGAGTGGGATGCCCCAAGAGAGAAGGAGTAATATGCAATGCCTTTTTGATCCCTCCCAGACCACTGGCATGGCCTGGGGCACACAACAAGTACTCGGAGTTTAAGACGGAAGAACTAGCGTATGTGGAAGCAGAGTAGTGTCGAGAATGTAGAGAGAAGATCCTTCACCCATGTGCTCCCTCCATCCAAAATGGGGTTCTCTCTAAGTGGGCCTGGCTAATTCTCTCTCATCCTTCTAGTTGCGGCTCTCACTGCCCCTCTGTGAACCTTCTGGAAGTCTCCTAGCATACTCAGAGGCTCTGGCTCTGGCTCCCCTGCCTCAGCGCCTTGCATCCAGACCTACGTCACCCTACATAGTAACTGCATGTCCAAGCTGGTGTCCCTTTCTGCTTCTGAACTGCTTGAGGGCTGGGCTTGGTTCACTTCTGTGTGCCTGAGACCCGCCAAAGAGCCTGGCACACAGAGGGCAACTGCTAAACGTTTCAGGATGGAGGCTGTGCCCAGGGCTGTGGCACTGTGATGTGGCAGTGTTCTCTCCCAAGGTGTCACGTGAAGGCTTGGACTTTGAGGACTAGCAGACAGGTTCTTTGGCATCTATGCCTTTCTCCTCCCTGTATCCCGTTCCCTTCTTTGCCTGGGTGGGGTGGATCCCAACAGACTTCCGGTCCAGGGGCTGCAAACTCTAATGTTCTTCCTCAGTGACTGGTCAACACATAGGGAGAGACATTAGGGAGTGATGGGGAGCGTGGTGACCAGAAGCAGCCAGGCTCAGCTACAACTGGCTGTTGCCAGGAGGAAATGTGGGCCGGCTCTTTTTCAAGAGATTTTTCAACAGAAGCCGTTAAGTCCCAATTTTTCCTAAGTTCTCCTGTTTTTAAAATGTCGATTGTTCAGATTTTTCAAAACATTGTGAGTCAAACAAAACTGTCCACGAACTGGTTGCGGCACACAGGCCACCAGTTTGGAATTCTAACTCCCTCTGCCTCGTTGCACAGATGAGAAAATTGAGGCCCAGAGAAGGGGAGGCATTTGCCAGAGGTGACACAGTGAAGATCACAGGCAGGTCCCATTTGTCCCTCTCTCTTTCTCTGCCTTGACTGTCTCTCTGAACTTTTCTGTCTCTTTTTGTGTGTCTGCTCTGTATTTCTCTGTATATCTGTATTTCTGTATCTCTCAGTCCTCATCTCTCATCTCCCACTCTCTCTCGGGTGCCTCTTTTAAATCGTGTGCCTCTCTCAGGATCTGTCTCTCTCTCTGCCCCCTCCACGAGTGTTCTAGAAAACACACCTGCTCCGGAGCTGGGTGCAGAAGCGCCCCCGCGGCACACCCCACCCTGCGCCGGCCTCCTCGCTTTCCCTCCCGCCGCGCCGCCCCAGCCCCAGTTTCCGGAGGAGCCGGCGGGCGTGTCCCGCGGGGCCGGCTGCCGTC